AATGAAATATGGTCACGCTGCGTGGCGTCAGTTCTAAAATAACTGCAACCATCAATGAAGTTCAAAGTAACCTGAATTGCTACCATTCAGAAACATAAGTTAAAAGTTTAACAACATGATATGTCCTTATTTTCCCTTGTGCTACTGTTCTGTTTAAAGCGCATGGTTGCGAACTAAAAATAGCCCAGATAATCGCGTAAATTAATGTGAATTAATATAGATACGTACAGCTCAAATTGACATTCCCTCTGACAAACTGAACTAACGTTTCGAAAAAATATATCCCAAACAGAGTGTACAAGCAAGTCATTATCTACCACAGTTTGTTTGAATGAAAGGTCAAGCTGGTATGTTGGATTGCCACATAATGAGTCACTCAGAATGTGAATGGACTTCATATCTTCCGCGAAGCATTTTGACCCGAACTTAAAACGACTGACAACTTTATTATGTTCGGGCATTTATACGACAATTTGTGTCTGTATGTCATGCTTTGCTTCAAATATATTGAACATGACACATTTCCGTATTCATATATCCGATTTACAACAACGATTCGTTTTGACGTTTGTAAAAATATATACATTATACATTGCATTATGAAAATACAGCGCCCAAGACAACCTAGTCGTCTCAGGCCTTGTCGTCTTAGTCTTAAGAACGTTGTTTTAAATCCATAATCTTGCTATTTCAGCTTACATTTCTCCAAAGTGGGTTTTGTTTTTGGAACTTGTTTCATTAAGAACTCTTGTTTAATCGACAATATACCAACTCTATGACAGCGACAAGAAAGTTATATAATCGAATATGAGAAAAAACCGTAATATATATTATGAGCGCTGATCCACACTGTCGGGTATAATGACACGTTATTAATAAAGTGTGTTAATAGTTTACGACTTGCATCGTTGTAGGGTTTCTTGTAGGATTAAGATTTCTTAGTGCCATCCCCGTGCATGTTGGTTTCGCCAAGGTTTTAAACGTATACTTCGGCAAATTATTGATGGATTTCAAGACAAATTCAATTGGAAAGAAACATCGTATTCTGTGACCACAGCTCATGATCAATAATAAGCCAAATCGATGTCACGGATCAAATTATATTGCACAAAACAAGCAGCGGACTGTTTTCTGATGAAAAAGTTGATGGATCGTTCAAATATAAACTTAATACAAATCCAGTTCGATATTTCGTCAGGTCGTTTAATATAATTTGTAATCAAATTTTATGATGAATTAGGCCTGGCCCGGTACTGCTCATATGAATTACGTCCGGCCTGGTACTGCTTTCGAAAGGATTTATTCAATATCTACATAATCAAAATTAGACTAGTCTTTCTGTCTATGAAGTATCGTAAAAGAATCATAATATTGATTAAATGTCATATTTGACTTTTATCAACAATAAATATAAATATAGATTTGTGATTGCCTCTCTATATTTACAAAGCCAACATAAACATAAGTAATCAGTCATCCTAATATCTATATTGTATGAACATGTAAGCATGTAATATATTGCAGAAGATCAACTATCAATAATATCTGAGTCTAAGTGATAGACAAATACATGATAAATTCTCTCTCGATTTTTAGATGAGAAAACTTAAATTTGGATTCAAATTTATAACAGCCGTATGTATTCACACAGGAGGCCATGTTCCAGTTTACACTACGTTTATCTAAACATGAGTTTAAATTAAGTCCCATGATCCGGGGCGTTACGCTTAACTACTTTAGATATATGGTAAGAGAGGATAATTACAGTAATTATATGGTAAAAAGTCTAATTGGACTGTCTAGATGCAGTGAAGGTACTACTGTGGTACTGTCCTCTGGCAATAAAAATATAATATTCATCTGACTCGTGACAATGTAAAAGAGGGAGCATTGGGGGCGAGGCAGTTATTGACCATCACTTTGAAGATCATTCCTAAGTAATGATGCAGGTCAGAGACAAACAGGAGAATGCCCACATGAAGGACTTCGGGCAGAAAACAAAATGTACATGATATAAATTCTGTTTATGGGCCTGTACCCCACAGAAATGACTGTCAAACCGAGCGAAATACTCACTGGAAACGGCATTAGCTCGATGTTTCAACGGAGGAAACACCACATCGAGTTTAAGTCTGGCTGACCCTCCACACACACACACACACACACCCCACCCCACACACACACACACCCGTCTCAGAGAGAGAGAGAGAGAGAGAGACAGCCAGAGAGAGACAGCCAGAGAGAGAGAGAGAGAGAGAGAGAGAGAGAGAGAGAGAGAGAGAGAGAGAGAGAGAGAGAGAGAGAGAGAGAGAGAGAGAGAGAGAGAGAGAGAGAGAGTCCTTCGATTGGATGAAGTTGTAGCTGGTGCCTTAGATTTGGTACATCCCAATCTGACTCACTTTGGGAGTGCTGCAAGACACACAACCCTTTTTACACTCCAGGTTATGTTGAAGGCATCAGTGTTGTTTGATTTGACATTCTCAGACAAATATCTACGTGTGTTCGAGCAGATTATGAACCAAACATCACGACTGTAGGAGGATCGTACAGATCCTTGCTGTACTTATAATTGTCTAACTCCGATATTGATCAGGTCATTTATATTCCAGTGTATGTCTATACTGCATATTGACATGATCGCATTGCTACGTAATTCTTACGGTCAGTGAATCACTGCGCACCCGAACGTATTTCGTATCTGCTTAGGGAGTAAACAGTTTAAAACGTGACAAAACACCTCCTTGAGGAATCTGTGTCGGTTGTAGGTTGTGTTTATGAATCACTATAAAATAGTGGTGGTGGTAGTGGTGGAATTGGGTTTAACGTCGTGCTTGAGAATATTTCGCTCATATGACGACGTGCATGCGTGTGTATGTGTATGTGCGGCTGCTTGTACTAGCCCAGACTGAAGCTGGTTTTATAGTGCTAGCCCACTGAGATACCATGCCGCAGTGAAGCATGAATACCCCACTCAGACACATTATACTGACTCCGAGCCGACCAGTCCTTGATGTACCCATTTATGCCGACACCAGGCAGGATAAAATAGTGATGATACCAGTCCAGGTGACCGTATCCTGCCCCATCCGACACCCATCACCCGTCGTAAACAAACGTTAGGGCTATTCAATTGTCCTCCTGGAAAATATGGGAACATGTGGCATAAGTCAAAATATGCATTTGCATCTGATATGAGATTTGTTACTGTCACTGGAAAGGCCTTCCTCATGTCTACTATAAAACGTTTGAAATCCTATACTGAGGCATTCAATGCTGTTACGTAAAGACGTTCCATCACGGTGTTAAATATACGGATATTCTGCAAATATGCTTTACTATGACGTATTCAATAATGCATTCGAAACGAAACTTTATTATCAAATTAAATGGGCGGATAAAGAACATTGTGGTATTTTACTGTTAGGTTCGTTCACCAATTCTTTAAGCATGAACGTCATAGGTTATATTCCGTATTCATACCATTTCCATTCCCATCGTGCGATTTCGACTCCATCAGGTGCACGTCAGAAACAAAAACAAAGGCAAGGCACATCTTCACCTAAAGAAATAGGTCCGGGTATATCACGTGACATAATAAGGAAATGACATCGGACATCGTTTTTTGTCACTGAATCGTTTTTGAAAGATTTACTTGGGGTCTTCATTGTTGTGACCGTGAGTAAAGCATTTGTGAGCAGAGTGATTTGACGCTCTTAAAAACCTTCGCTCAAAGAGCATGAAACTAGACGCTACCCTTCTTGTCATACAGTTTTGTGGAGAGTTGCATCGTTATAGACAGGCATGCCACTTACGGTAGACCCCAAAATTTAGCTGGACCCGTACTGTACGTCGTTGGCAGCGACTTGACTGGCAGACGGTCGTCTTCACTGATGAAAGCCGGTTACGAACAGCGGAGTGGCACATTTAGGAGGTCGTGGTGAAATGTGGATGTGGTGATATGGTGTGGGAGGTATTTGTGGGCCGGAGAGAACACCACTGGTCATCGTTAACGTTTGACAACTCATCGCTTCATGGGTGACATTCTTTGCCCAATTGTTATACGTTTTGTACAACAGCTGCCACGTGATGTCCGTTATCAGCATGACAACGCCAGAACCCATACCTCCAACCACGTCAACGTCTTATCGTGGCATATATATATGTCCCCATAGACCACCTCTGCAATGTCATGGATCGTTGTGTGGGACATGGACCGCATCATGCAGCCAGTCGACAATAACTGATCCAGAAACCTAACGAGAATGGCGACGTATCCACTGTGACGTCATCAAACGACAGACTTAATAGGAGAATCGTTGCATTTCTTGTAGCGAGGGAGGCGTGTGTGTCGTGTGACTGTTAATGTGACGAGTCGTTAAAATTAAAATATTTTACATGTGTGTGCATATTACGTCGAAAGCGTGTTCTTGAAATCCCACCTCAAACTGGGTAATTGTCAGAATATAGGCGTCTATATTTCGAGGTTTGTAAACTAAATTGATTTAAGGGTATGATAAAGTTTCTTTTGGTTGTTAGGTTATTATTCTTTTTGACTTCCAAGATTCCTTTTCCATGTATGACCGACAAATACCTCATTATCTATAAATCAAATATTCGGGAGTAGTTAAATAAATCAAATACGCTTTCCTCTATTCACCATCACGTGTGACCCGGAGATCGATAGATAAACCCAATGTTAACACATCTCACATGATAAAGTTCTTCTAATCGCAATAAACATGTACTAAAAAAATCTTATACCACCGGTTTATGACAATATTAAAAATCTCATATCCGTGCACCGACAAAATTAATGAACAGCATGTCTTCAGAATTAATGAAAGTTCTGTGCGATTTCAGCCATCCATTATGTCAAGCATTTACGAACCTATCGGCAGCTCAACCGCATTGCAAACCGCAAATCTATATGTACTGTAATCGCCCTCGGCGGAGTGTTATGTGCAGGACTAAAACGCCCTGACTGAGAGACTCGCAGAATGGGTAGGTTGAAGGGAGGGAAGGAAAGAGACGCTGACAGTATGTTAGTGGTAGGTGGGCTTGGCCGGGCTTGGCGTGGGTCCGCCTCGGTTCTATTGGACAATGGCTGCCTCAGCACACACGCCGTGAAGCGGCATGTGATGACCAATGCTCGGCCTTTTCTACCTTAGAGTTCAATAAGACGTAATCAAAAGGCAGTAATATAGGTTTTGTGATCTTCAGAGGAACCAACAGACTCTCGTGGGATCTGGTTAGTGTTGGATGCACAAAACAAACACGTCTCATTTATTGTTCTTACGTGCTAGCGAAAGTTTACTGATGTCAGTTAAACGTGGATACGGATAATATCAGTGCAATAAGGATCACTGCATGATTAACTGACAGTGGAGTGCTGGACTGTTAGGCTGTAATTCCATTCTGTTAAAACACGGGAAACTTCAGCGCTCACAGTAGCACCGCCAAGGCCACAACACCAGCCCTTTCATCGAATTTTCTTGCCCACGTGGTTTGGGTACGGACGTCTTTTATCTGCAATTTGCATGTGTGGCGAGCGGTCTCGGGAGATACAATGTCAACACGACTGATACGAAGTCTGGCGCTTGTGAATTTGTATTGACAAATACCGAGATGTAACATGTGGTACAGGGAATACAGTGGCGGAGTGTTATTAAAAGTAACGAAAACATTCCAGTCCCGCTGTGGTTGTGAAAGATTGTTGTTTTTGCCTTTGAAATGCAGTTTTCATTCGGCAACGTAATGTTCAAGTGATCGAACAGTTTGGTTATTTAACAACGTGTGTGTTTAATACCCATTGGAACTTTCGGACAACGTAACTGACTTTGATTCCGACTTGAAGTATATTCATAAACAAACATGGCTATGAATGTCAGTTTTGATTACACAACAGCACCACCTGACCTGAACACACCATATGTGACTCCAATGGCCATGTTTGTGTCTGATGACAACTTGACAAACATCACCAACTCTGATGTGGGTACTGGTTCTCACCATGACCCGATGTCTCCAGCTACCACCAGTCTGTGGACTATTGTGGGATTGTCTGTCGTCTTTCTTATCATTGTCATCATTGGTGTCATCGGAAACGGATTAGTTATATTTGTTATTCTGTTAGATAGGAAAATGCGGCAGTCAATAACCAACTTGTTTATAATGAATCTGGCGATAGCGGACTTGTTGATCATGATGTTTGGAATACCAGAAATTATCCAGTTCATGATGAGGACTGGTTGGATCCTAGGGCCGATTGCTTGCAAGTCTAATCGGTTTATAATGACAGTGTCCCTTTACGCCTCTGTGCTCTGTCTTGTGTCCGTGTGCATCGAAAGGTAAGTAGAACATAGATATTGTACGGGTCAATAAACAAACCAGTTGTTTGTTTCTTGTTTAACGCCGCTCTCAGCAATATTCCAGCTATATGACGGCTGCCTGTAAATAATCGAGTCTGAACCAGACAATCCAGTGACTGACATGGTGAGCATCGATCTACCGTTCATTTCTTATCTGACTATCAGTCTGCATCTATGTGTTAACATACACAATACCCAAGATAAATAATGTATGCGGGCCATGCCCACTTACATAGAGAGAGTACTAAACGACACAACTGTTAAACATATGGATGTAAAATATCATATAAGAGATATAGTGAGTGACTGAAATGTTAAATTTCACATCGGAATAATCTTTGCTGTATACGACCTAAATGCACATTCTATTTATTACTGTTCCATTAGAATATATGACATTCGATATATTCACAATTCTGCTGAAATATACCATTTTCACATTAACGTGTATCAACATTATTTCTGCTTAAAGGAACATTGTAAACGAAACCGACGTTATAATGAATAATACAATGGTTATTTTGTAATTCCATACACGTATGTACGAAACCACATATCTGAGAGCAAAACAGGATTAGGATATAAGTAAATACGTAAGATACTTTATGACGATGGTATTATGTCATCGGGTTCTATTGACTTTTCAACAACTATGATTACGTATCAAAGCATCTTTCTATAAACCCTTTTAATGGAGGACAAAATAAACATGCAAAGTAGCGTGAGGTTATGATAGAAATGCTTTATTAAGCAGAAGGGCTTTACATAAAAAAGGTTGTCATATTTTCTTTTCAAAGGTGCCATATGTTACAAGTATCTGTAATTAGTACGCAGTACAGTTCTTTCATTACCTGCCTTAGCAGACAGTGGCATTAAGTCTGTGACGTTATTGCTGATATTCATTACTGATGTGTGTTCAGTCTGAGAAGTTGTTCATTAATCTTAAAGGAACCTTTTAATCCCTTAATCGTTGCTCTATGGTTCTAGACTCGTTTTCATACGTGCTTGTAGTTATAAGGCTCGTTGATTAAAACATTTTGGTTTAATCCTATCTGTGTAGCCATATTTGTTTACCCTTCGTTATCAAAGCATATACAGTATCCATCATAAAGTACGAATGAACAGTGTCTGTAGGTAACCGGTGGTGTATTATTGTGCTGTAAGAGCTATGCACATGTAGCCCATGAAACAGAACAGTTATATACCTTGCTAGAATAGCTTACATTGAAACAGCTGTTGGGCGAACCTTTCCAACAAAGCAGAACATTCCATGTGCATAGAATCAGATCGAAACTTTCATGGAATTTATAGTGTGCGAATATTTAAAAGGTTCAGGTCTGAAGTTTTGACATGGTATATGAGCCATCATAGCTTATAAAAGTTTCAAGTACATTCTTGGTATATCTGTTTCAATTTATTACCTTTAAGAGTTTGCAATACAATATATCTCACATATGACACAGTCCGTGTTTACAGAACACTCACATTGGTTGACAAAGAGAAGTCATAATCTAATATACTCCTGTTCAGGGAGACTGGTTGGCTCGTTCAAGTGAAATGCACTGGTTTTTGTCAACGAGTACTTCTTCAAAGTTAACCTGGTATCAAGTACTTGTGCAAAGATTAATATTAAGTGAAGAGTAAATCAAGTTTCAATAATCGTACTTTTTTCGAAATGGGATTGAAGAGCGGTGATATGAAATTGCTGTATTATTTTAAAAGGCACCAATACTCCATGTACATGGCTTCACATATAGATCGTTCTCTGATCAGTGGTTGTCTTTAGTTATTTTTGTTAATAGTTCGTACTTTACACCCTTGTCGTCATCTTTCTTTGCAATTTGACAACGAGTTACATAAATAACATTCGGAATTTCGTATTATTTCTACTTCGTAGATGCGAAAGTCTGGGACTTCATTTTGGGCAGACAATCCTAAAGTCTTCGTACTTTGGTGGTTCTTCTCCGATATTCAGATTCAGTCTACTCATTGACTACCCTAACATTTTGTTTTATCTTAAGTTAAAACACTACTGACACGATGATTAAGGCATATGGTAAATTTGACGTTAGCGCGTTCTTTCGGGATTACGTAAGGATATGAATACCCCACCCTTGACATGGCACGCGATATTGCGTCTCTATCTTCCTCAGTAAGATAAATACATATGCAGATGAATTCAGGATAAACAGTTATTGAACGCCTCTCGACGCTTTGCAAATCGCCTTACGGACTAAATCATTTGCGCGTATTATCTGCAAGGACAAGTATGCATCTAAGTTAGAATGAAACACATGAGACCTACGTGTCATATTTAGCAAACAGAAAATATCCCTTATATCACTGAGAACGATATTGAGCTGACTTGAATTTGGGTTTGTCGGTTAAGCGTATGTCCTGGTTGTATATTACTGGAGGATGGCTGTCTTGCCCATTTCTCATGTCATCAACGTGTGGTTTTGTCAGCTTCTCTGGCCGAGAAGCCCTTGTTGGTGCAGAGGGGTTAAAACTGTTGGGTTAAGATTGGTTTGAGCAACTCGAACAACATGCTGGGTTTTTTTTACAGATCTCTTCATTCATTCCATAACCAGTAATTTATCTAACTCCACATACTATCACATGGCCTTCAATATGTGTGTGACTAAAGTGTTAAACATTGTTCTAAATACATTTAAAGGATTCAGTGCACGCTTTCAAAGAGTGTACCCAGCTGGACATATGTACGCAGTTGTCTAACACACTTTAAGATACTTTCGGGAAACTTTTGGAAAACGGCGGTGTGTTGTTAGACGCAAAGGGGTTAATGGTTCGGTGTTGGGACAACGCATCTGAATTATAGTGACAGGTCCCTCTTATGAGATTTATATTTTGCAAATTACGTCATTACTGAGGGTTTATTGGGCCGAATGATAAATCCATTATAAGGACGATAAGGCCATAGCAGCTCTGTGTCTAGCTGTTTCTGGCAAGCTAATTTGAACGTAACCCTTACATAGCCTATTCTACTGCTGGGAGGCTATGCCAAGAAGATCGAAAGTTCATTACTGCCCACATGTACGGATCTGGAGTGTGATGGTGTCCATGCGAAACAGATGGCGTAAAGTAGTGTGTTCAAATTGACCTCTCACAATCACACACGTTTCCCTATATATATATATATGTATATACATATATATAATACATATGGAGACACACACACTCTCTCTCTCACTCACACACACACACACACACACACACTCTCTCTCTCTCTCTCTCTCACACACACACACGCATAAACAGGGAGAGCGAGCGCAAACATTTGATTTGATCACACCAGCCCCTGTATGTTAGTTATTGATGAAGGGACAGCTTGGTGGACCGGGCGCTATTGTTCAAATTATGGAGGAATCCATTTGTCAGCATGTTCGCTGAGTTAAACTGGAATGGCTTTCTTTGAAAGCAACGGCTTGTTATTTAACGTTGAACCGATGATTATCAGCTTTCCCTCGCATTCTACTTCATGTCTCGGACAGTCCGATAGTCCCACTTCATGTTGTTAAAGCAATATTAATCACCATGTATCAAACTGTGTTCTCGCCGAGACTTGCATTTAAACAATTACAATCGTGACATGTTGCAGCATTGTGGGTAGATCTATTACCGCACACTGGCGTAGAAAGATGTTCAATGCGCGGCACACTATAGACAGCGGTTCTCTGTGGAGCTTTTCTTCTGAGGGCGAGGCACTGGAAGTTATAAAGTTCCAGCACTCTTGTCTGTAAGTGGATTCGTTTAGTCGATGTCATAGTAAAACCTTTAACAATAAAGTGTGCCCAAAGCATGAAGGTGTTTCTAAGACCAGTTTTTCATGGACTCTATCGGGTTATGTGCTAGCAGACCTTTTGGACGATGATAAATGGATCAACTGGTTTCGAGTCTAGAAGAGGCGCATTGACTGTTGCAAGGAGCGGCCAAATAAATATGAGGCCAAGTTAAAAAATGGTCGATTCACATCAAACCCTTTTGACGACTGCGTTTAAGTAGCAATTCATTTCATGAGGGCAGCTCTACACTCTAAGTACTATCGTAACTGGTTAAAACTTGTAGTAAATCCTGTATGTTTGTAAATGTTTGTAATCGTGTGCCATGCGTGCGTGTGTATATAGTAACATGTTAATTTTGAACTGTTTGAAACACGGGTATAGGATCATAATAACGAGTACCAAAGTTAGGCAATTAGCCAATTTCGAGTTTAGAATTATCTCCCCTTCAATCGATTTGCATTCGCAAAACATCGGTAATTTCCGTACATCATATGTGACTCAATTATTCGAGAAAAAGAATTACTAACACGAACTACCAAACACAGTTCGGCATTGTTAGCGGGGTACAATCAGAAGACGAAAGTACCAAAGTAAGGCAATTAGCCAATTCCGAGTTTAGAATTATCTCACTTCCATCGCTTTGCATTCGCAAAACATCGGTTATTTCCGTACATCATATGTGACTCAATTATTTGAGAAAAAGAATTACTAACACGAACTAACACAGTTCGCCATTGTAAGGGGGATACAATCAGAAGACGACATTTATGTGTGAGGTAAGATAAGTATCAATCACGATTACACCTTTGACCAAGCAGATAGAGGTCAGCACCATCACATAAGTATATACCGGTTTCTGTTTGGTCAAAAGTGTAAGCATGAAATTTGGGGGATATTACCCACGGCTATTAACGGTAGTATAACACTCGCTGGATGTCGAACGTGAAACTGATGTCCCTGCTTGACACGCTGTCCCAAGGCATAATGATAAACGTCGCAAGTGAACACTTAAACTACTACATCATTCTACTGACATAATGTCTGGCGGCGTAAAGGCCCACAGCAAGGTGGCATGGTTGTATTGATGAGTTTTTTTCTATTTTGCCACAAAGAACTGTCGATTCAGAAAATATCACGTGAAATTGACATATGTAATCATGACTTCACATATTGTGC